GTCTGCAACATGTAAAAGTGACAACCAAGAGTGATGGTGAGGGGAAAATACACAATTATCATAGGAAATCAAGATCAAGGCCCATCAATTGTCTCACATTAATGTATTTTTGTATTCAGCCCAGAGTTATTCTGGAAATCTGATTGTTCTGCAGATCAACAAGCTGCAGTTGTGGGTTGTGTTATGTTTCCCTATTTAGATCGGTGCACTAGATGTTATGTTACATAAGGTTTTGAGAAGAGTTTAAATTAAGTTACACCTTGATGCCCAACACCTTATGGAATAAGGAAAGGTTTTGAAGCCTATTAAGGGGTCTTATTTATTTCCTTTTATGCGTGAATCGATTTGGTGAGCTTGGAAGATAAGTCAAGTCGGCCCTTGGTAATGAGTAGATACGACTTTACCTAGCCTTATACAACCTTAAGGCCCTGCTCTCATCAGACACGTTCTTTAACATATTCTCACTATAAAGAGAGAGCTGAAACAGATTCTGAGATAGAGCAGAATTCTTGAGCTGTTCCTGTTCTTGCTAGGATTGCTACTGCTACGGATTGGATGAGTTCAGAGGTTGTGTACTATAGGAAGCTGGCTCCAGGTATGTCTTCGTGTCTCTACGTATTTCAGATTTTGTGAAAGATCTTGAATATGTATAATAAAGAAATCTAATAGTTGGTATCAAAGCACATGGTTATACACACACACTGAAATCGTTGTTCAAGCATACCTACAATGATTTCATATCTGTGCATACTATTATTTCATATTTGTTTATGCTATGATGAGTTTTTTGGTTATGTTTAAATTTTGAAGTTTGGTTAAACATGTTCTCTAAAATATCAAGAATATTGAAGAATCTGGAAAAACATGTTTTTTATTTGGTTTTCATATTTTCAAAAATTTAAACACATTTTTGACCTATCAGATAACCTTAAAACCCAAAAAATGCCTTGCGTTACTTAGGTCATTACCTATTCAGAAAGGTATTTTGCGTTAAAAATGGACACCAAAAAAAAGGTATTTTGCTTTAAAAATGGACACCAAAAACCCCTAAAACACAATTCACAGTAGTTTTTTTTTTCACTATTCACTGCAATGTAGGGTTTTTCCTTCTTGAACTGTATTTGTTTGGATATTTTCTGAGCTAGATAGATGTTTGTTTTTGCTCTGAGAATCAACAAACTTTTCATAACAAAACCAAACCTAAATACTCAAATCCTAAAGAAATAACTAAAAATTGCATCATACCTAAATTGCTTGGTAAGTTTATTCAACAAATAGAATTTATCAAGTAATTTGTTTGTGATGGCACAAGATAACATGTAATCTGTGTAAGCTATAAGTAATCTCTTGCCACAAATGTGTGATACTTAATTAATGAAGCTTGCATGTATTATTTGTTAGTTTTGTGAATAAGTAAAATGGAAAACTACTTTCTCTTAACAAATTGAGAATCGGTTTTATTGGAAAGTATTCATACTTTTCTCTTGCAAATCCTTACAGCTTTGAACACTCCCTCAATTCATTTCTCGCAAATTGAAACTCTCACTGGATCGAATTTCAAACGATGGAAGTTCGATCTTGATGTTGCACTAGGCATGAGTGATATCGATTATGCTATGACTCAAGAAGAGCTGACCAGACTTGTTGCAAATTCCTCTGCTGAAGTTAAGAGGGTGCATAAAGCGTGGAGGATGGCGAATAAGGTTTGTCTGCTAGTTATGAAGAAGACTATAACGGAAGCCATTTTTGGTGGAGTTCCAAAAATAGAAAGTGCCAAGCAGTTCATAGAATCCATTGAGATGAAATTTAAGGAATCTGGCAAGGCTGAAACGAAGAACCTCATGTCTAGGCTGGCTAATACGAAGTATGAAGGAGGAGGCAGCATAAGAGAACATCTCATGGGACTCGTGGATATTGCTGCCAAATTGAACATGTTGAAAGTACATATTGCCCCAAACTATCTAGTACATATTGCGCCAGAATCCCTACCTGATGAGCAGATGAAGTTCACCTACAACACCCTGAAGGAGAATTGGACAATAGATGACCTAATTACAATTGCTGTTCTTGAGGAGAATAGGTTGAAAGCTTATAGTGGTGTGGTTGATGTGGTCAGTGCTAGGAAGTATGGAAATAAGGGTGCTGCAAAATCGAGAATAAAGAAGCAGAGTCAGTCTCAAAAGAACAACCATCTTGGCGTGACCCCTACCACTGAATTCAAGTGCTACTTATGCTAGAAGGAAGGTCACATGAAGAAGAATTGCAACAATTACAAGAAGTGGTTCGAGAAGAACAAAAACAGAGGTAATAAAGAATTAGTCCTAGTGAGTTTTGAGTCTAATTTAATGGATGTTTCTTCTAATTCTTTGTGGTTAGATACGGGTGCCTCGATTCATATAGCTCATAATGTGCAGGAATTCATAAGAAGGAGAGAACCAAGAAAGCATAAAGTTAAAGTGTTTGTGGGGGAATGAAGAGCAAGTAGATGTGGAAGCCATTGGAGTAGTGCAGCTGAAATTGGATTCATGATTATTTTAGAGTTGGATAATGTAGTTTTAGTACCCTCAA